CTCCGAAACCTCGATCTCTTTTTCTCTTATAAACAACCTAAGCATAAACATTTAACTTTTATATACCTTCTACCACAATGTCAAGCTAACCACAAAATTCAAGTTATATAAAGAAACTCTTACATGCTTACCTCAAAAACACTCTACTGAAGTCAGCAAACTGGTTTCAGCACACAAAAAATTCAGCAAAAGCAACATTCAGGCTTCATAATTTCTTTGCTAAAATATTACATTCCAGCAAACCCCTTACCAGTTTTTTTCCACCACCTAAAATTCTGCACACACTATTCAACAAAATGTCATTTCTATCAACATACCCATTTCAAAACCCAAAATCTGAGAAGATAACTATTAGTTCTTTCAAATTTTTGGAATCTTACACAAGTTCCCGCATGTATATAGATATATTTTCATTATCTGTGCAAATGAGCACTTCAACCCACAGTTTACCCACACCACATCATGCTACCTGCAGCCCTTTGCTCTCCCACCGTCAGCCAACAGCCTTTTCCAGCTTCTCCCCTTCGATTCGCTGGCTGTTTTGGAAATTTCAGCAGCTGTCGTGGAATGGAAGGGGCATTAAATGAACAATACATTGCTGAGTTAGCATCTTACCCTAATATAGTAGCACTAGTGGAAATTCCACTAATATTGCCTAAAATGATCTCAGCCGTTGATTACAGTTTCTACTATCAAACCAATGCATGCCTATATAAATGGATTGCTACAGTGATTTGAATAAAAAATGAAACAAGTGACTTATAGTTATCAGTAAATCAATTAAGTAATGTAGAAGTTATTATTATTTAACATTAGTCATTTTTTTAAACTACTAATCTAAATTTTTTTTTTTAAATATGCTTCAATATGTCAAAGTAATTAGAATTAAGAGTACAATTTAATGAAAATAACTTAACATTTAAAGGAAGTTGATGCTTACTTTATTTTAAACATTTTGAGGGTATCATAGTTCACGCTTTTCTTAGCGTGGCGTGGACAACTTTAAGTACCTGACACACCACAGTGCCAGCGGGGAAACAACTGTATATTTTTAAGTAGGTAGCCGGAAGACCCATACACGTTTTTTTTAGTGTGGTGCGATTGAAGACCACAGCTGCAGTGTCTACGAACACCTATCATACACGCTTTTCTTGGAATGTTGGGAATGCCCAGTTCCCTACATTTCCCCCAAACGGGGGATATACCTGGATGCTGCCGAAATTCAGCATGAAATGCACAAAGATTGAATAGCATGGAGTTTGAACTATATAGCAAGCAACAAGTATCTCTAAAAACCCATACACACTTTTCTTAGCATGGTGGGATTGAAGACCACGACCGCAATGTCTACAGAAACCTACTATACACGCTTTTGTTAGCGTGGTGTGAAGGCCCAGTTCCCTACATTTCCCTGAAACGGGGGATATGTCGGGATGCTGCCAAAATTTAGGCTGAAATATACATGACTTGAACAACAAAAAGACTTCACTTAAGCAGCAACGCAGAGGACCTGTACTTGAACATAAATACATAGAACTTGAACAAATGTTAAGGAACTGAGCCTGAACATAATAAACAAGGGACTTAAACTGAACAGCAGGGAACATAACCCTAAATATTAAAATGAAGAATAATAATCAAAATACAAATGATGAATTTGATTATTCAAACAAATAGGGGACTCGTGGTGGAGAATTTTTATATGTGATTGACTTATAAGTGATATCAACCTACTACAAAATGTATAAGTACTTCTTACATATACTTTTGCAAACAACGGTCTTTCTGTAGATTGAAATGAAGGCACCTAAAATTAACAAGGAAAACCTATCATGCATATAATAAATTACATCAAGATAAAAGACACTGAATGCAGTGATGCTTTGCAATTAATGACAATAGGCTGTATACAACTTGCTTCCGCCAACAAGTATACAAAAAGCCACCTGTGAATGATGAAGGTGGATATGATGCAAGTACAACGACTCTCCTACAAGTATGTCTAGGAGATTGTAGTGAACATGAACATTCCCTATAAGCAGTGATAGTTGATATGATACTCGTGGAGAACAATAGTGGGCATATCGCAAGTACGATGAATCTCATATGGACACAAGTACATACAACACCAACAAACAACTGTTGGAGATATGTGCCTACAATCAACAACATGCAAGAGTTGGTGTTAGCATGCAGATGAGTATACAAATCTGCCTACAATCAACGTTTGATAACTAATGACAAACGTACCATACCTACAGCAGCGACGCTTTAGATGTTGTAAGTACGGAGAATCCCTATGGACACAAATACATACAACACCTACACCTATTGTTGTTGCTTTTTAACATACGTGAATGCATCGTGTGAAATGCATCCAATGGCATATACCCATATAGGCCCTGAAAAGCGTGTTGTAGGTACACAAGTAACGTGTAAAAATGTCGTGAGGGTTAAGAAATAAATTTAGATTCAAATACGATCTTCTGTCAGCGAGTAGACAATCAATAAGGTTCAATCAACAAAACAAAATATTTATAAACTCCGTAATAATGGCTGCATCGAATATTTATCTCAACCATAGGGAATCAATTATTATTTTTAAAATACTCTCAAACTTCCACATAATACAAATATTTTCAAATGACCCCATATACCCCAATGGTGGCCGGGTTGAATGTTCATCTCAACTGGAGGGGATTATATATGTTAAAAATACCCCCAAATGCTCATAAAAATCCAACGTACCAAAAATGAAGATATTTAAAATTGAAATTCAATTATCAAATTACTTAAGGAAAAACTCATCTATCATCCGCAATAGTTCGTTAAGATGGACAAATCCAAAAGCTACTCCAGCTCACAAAGAGCTAATATATAGTCGATAATATCACTAGGATCCATTCTCAATCTATCTCTTACTAGTAAGAACATGGCACATATCCTCTAACTGGTGGTTTCACCGTCAAATGGCATCAAACCTACGGTTTCGCCACTAAATTGCACCACAGGTAAATGGTTATGAACGGAACCCTCTGAACTGGGTGGTTAGCCACGAAATGGCATAATTATATTACGATCATGATCAGCGCCCGTATGCTCCCCAATGGCATCAAATTCTTGAGATATAAATCAATAGGATATAATCGATAAGGCACAAAGCCCTCGGTCAGCTAAGTTGGATTCAAATTTGTCCCCTTAGATAAATATCCACACTATGTCTACAAGGTACCCTTGGACGGCGCAACTCATGGCTACTGATAAGGATATCCTTCTATCACTACCTCCTATAACTTAGTATACAAAAGACCACGATGGCCCGGGACGACGTAATCATGGGATCTTGATCGGGCTCATCACCATTCCCCACCATCCACTTTAAGTGCAAAACGGTGAAAGTTCTAATTTTAAATATCAAACTTTCCAAATACCAAACTAATGCTGCTACTATATGTCAGATATCATGTATTTACAGGTATGTTGTATTCATTCGACGACTAACCTTAATCAAAAGTTTTCTCTCGTGATCAAGTGGGTAATTAACTATAGGGCTTGCGCCTATAGGAAACAAGAACTCAGATCATAAATTCTTGCAAAATATATGTGAAATTTCTGGGTAGTGTCTTATCTACAATCTCAATCTGTGTTCCTAAAATTTTCCCCAGAACTTAATCGATTAAAACTCCCCCCGAAAGCACAGAAAAGTACAAAGCACGAAAAGCAGCAATAAGGAGGCCACGGCGCGAACTTTTGGAGCACACAAACTTAACCATGTAAAAGGAAAAGATTGAACATTTTTAAAAGCAACAACAACAACAAAATTGCCACAAAAGACAAGTCATTATCCCACTAAGTGGGGTCGATCATACAAATCATTCTTCTCCATTGTATCCTATAAGACCCATTCTCATATAAGTTCAATTAAAAAAGGTTATTTTTATTACTTTCTCAAGTCTTAAGTCTACATCTACTTTTCTTAATATATGCCAGCTCTAATACATCTACTTTCCTAATAGGATCATCGGAAGACCGATGTATTATGTGATCAAATCATCTAAAACGACTCTCTCTAAATTTTATCGGTCAATGGAGCGACTCCGACCTTTTCACGTATATACTTGTTACAGATTCTATCTTTAATTATAAAGCCATTCATCCACCTAAGCATCCTCATCTCTGCAAAACTTGATTTTATACTTCTCTTTTAATGCCGCCTAATATTCTGCGTCCTGAAGCATTGTAGGTCTCACCATCATCTTATAAAATTTTCCTTGAAGTTTGATGGGTAATTTTCTATCAAACAATAGGCCCAATGCATTCCTCAACTTCAACCAACTAACTTGAATTCTACTAATAATACCACATCTATTTCACCAGTATTCTAAACAATAACCCCAAGATATTTTAAGTGTGCATTCTTTTTAATGACTTGGTCACTCTTTTTTAAAAGCAATAATAAAATTTTATAAATAAACAAGAAAAATAGATTAAAAATTGGTTGAATATAAAAACCAAAACAATAAGCTGCCTATATTAACCGAGTTTCCAATTGAAGGATCAAACTACATGGAGTTCAGGGGAAAATAGTACAAAAGAATAGTTGAGAAATAAGACCCCATTAATGCATAAATACAATAAAACATGCGGACATGAAAGAGCTTCTTTACTTGATAAGGTGAGATTTAATTTGAACTTCATTAAGAATAGAAATTTAGAGTATAAATATTCCTTTTTTTTTGTTGAAGAAAAAGCATAAAATGCTTCATTAATAACTAAAAAAACGGATTACATCCTAATAGCATTTGATTCCTCCTTTAACAACTTATTAAAAGTAGGAGGAATCTTATTCATGACTAAATCATCCCAAAAGAAAGAACTTAAAATTGCATAGTTAGCACAAAGATCTGCTAACTTATTGCTTTCCCATTTAAAACAATTAAAAATAACAAAATTGAACTCTTTGTTAAATGATAGATCTCTCAATTCATTGCTATCTTTCCTCACAAATTCCTCACAATATCTTGAATGAAGTTGATTACAATTTTGTTGTCTCCTTCTATGATCAAGCCCTTGTAAGCAAACATCCAATATTTAACCACATCCTTGATTGATAAAATAGCTTGAAGCTCCAATGAAGCGATATCCCAATGAATCCACTTTTGACCAAAAGCCATCAAGAATCTTCCCTTATGGTCATGAAACACATCACCAATCCCAGCCTTATAGGAAGGACAAAGGGAAGTATCTATATTAACTTTTATCCAATCGGGTGGAGGAGGATACCAATAATTATTCAACAACCTTGTCGGTTGATTAACATCCAAGATACCTGAGCAAAAATAATTTAAAGGCTTAAAGACAGCAGAATAAGTCATAGCATTTGTAGCAACTACCATCGGGCTGGTTGCAAGTCCATTATGAACAAAATCATTCCTAGCTTTCCAAGATAAGTAGACCGCGTTGCAAAAAATATTAACCAACCAATGATTTTGGCTATCCAACCATATACTGCATGAGTCAAAGGAGTTGAAACTTGGAATACCAAAACCCCAATTGTTTAGATGCTAAATGACTTCTTTTAAAATCATGCATTTGGTGACAATGTGCTAAATGTCTTCAACCGTCTCACATCCCCTTGGACAACCATTATTACCTTGTAAACTTTTATAGCTTAAGAACTGATTTGTTGGAATTGCATTATTAAGAACTCTCCACCAAAATGTCTCCACTCTTGAACTCCGTTTAGCATTTTTAAGCCAATTACATCCAACAAAAACTGTATTGCATTTATCCATTGTTTCGGTTGCCAAGGCTGAAATTGATCCACCAGAAAGCCTATGAATTAACTCCAATTGATCATTTGAACATTCAGAATAAATCTGAATACCGGATATCAGGTTTACGAGATCTGGACCAAAGAAATCTCCAAGCTTCCCTACATCCAAGCAACCATTGCATATAAACTTGTCAACTGTGAGATCATTGCACTCCCTTAATTGAACAAAGGTTGGCCATTTATCAATGCTTCTATCTAATAACCAAGTGTCTTTGATAACATTTACAGATCTCTCATTAGCAATTCTCCATTTGACAATTGGTTTAAGAAATTCCCCTCCATTGCATAATAGTTTCCATGCTGATGAACCTGCTCTGTCCGAAGAATGATCCTAAAAATTGGACCATATTTAGGGAATAGTACTTTATGCATGAAAGAGTCTTTGTCTTGGCAATACCTCCAAGCCAACTTGGTTCTTAGTGGACCAGCTTTCTTAGAACAGGAAACTATTCCACGGCCACCCAAGTTATTCAGTCTACATATGGATTCCCAGCTTACATAGTGGAGTCCAGCTCCTCCAGCCTTCTTGCTCCAAATAAAACTTCTGCACAACTTATCTACTTCATTCAAAACACTTTTAAGAACAAAAGAAAGAGTTGAATGAAAAGTAGGAAATGATAACAAAACCGATTTGACCAAAGTGATTCTTTCGGCCAAAGATATAAATTTTTCACCCCACACACTCAACATATTCAATGCTTTATCTAAGAGGAATTGGAAGTCGGCCATAACCAGTCTTCTCAATGCAACCTTGATGCCCAAATAGGAAAATTCTTTGATCTTCTTGAAATTCATAAGTCTAGCAATTGCTTTTCTCTTCTTTCTTTTGATTGTTTTCCCAAACAGAATTCCATATTTATTAGAGTTCACCCTTTGACCCGTCCAACCACAAAAGTCTGAAATGATGCTTTTAATCTCCATAATCATCTTCATACTTGCTTCCGAGAAAATGATAATATCATCGGCATAGAGTAAGCGAGTGATCTTAGGCCCATTAGGAGAAATACGAATACCATCTGAATCCTTCTTTTGTGAAAAAGCATTTAAAAGAAGTTGTGCACAAATAATAAACAGAAATGGAGATAATGGGCATCCTTGACGAAAACTGCTCCTTGCTTCTATCCAATTAGAAAAATTCTCATTGATTGATAAAGAAAAGCAAGGGCTATAAACACAATCCAAAATGAGATTAGCAAATTTAGTTGGAAAACCACAATACTCTAAAGCCTTGAACAAAGTCGGCCATCCCATTGAATTGCATGCATGTTCCATGTCTATCTTGAAGGAAACTAAACCTTTAGAAGATTTAGAATACCTAAACTTGTGGAAGACTTCATGAGCCACTGAGACATGATCCGAAAGTGACCTCCTTTCAAAAAAGCCGCTTGTTCCTCCGAAATTAATTTAGGAATAACAAGCAATAATCTATTTAAAATCATCTTTGCCGCTATCTTGTAAACAGAGTTACACAAACTTATCGGTCTAAAATTGGAAGGAGACAGGATTTTTTACCTTTGGAATTAGCACTATGATAGTTTCTTTCCACTCTTTACACATCTCCTCGGTTTTGAAGAAGTGATCCCAAGCATTCCATAAATCATCCTTAATTATAGACCAATATGATTTGATAAATGAATATGAAATACCATCATGTCCCGGAGCAATGTTCCCATCAAGATCTTTGATTACCTTCTCCATTTCTCCCATGAAAAAATTTCTATCCACAACAAGCAAATCTTCTTCATTCAAACTCTTCCATGGCTTAGCCCACCCAACCATAGAACAATTCCTCTCTTTCCATTTATCCTTGAAGTAACTGAATAATACATCTTCTATTTGGTGTTGGTCTTCAACAATCAATCCGTTCTCATCTTTGATTTTATGTATGAAGTTTGAATTCCTTCTAGCACTTGCATATGCATGAAAAAACCTTGAGTTTGAGTCACCTTTCATAAGCCATTTAACCTTGGCTCCCTGCCTCCACCAAGTACAAAGCCGAGCCAATGTAGAATTCAAAGCATCGATTTTAGTTTTTAATAGCCACATATCCTCATCTGAAAAAAGATCGAATTCAGCCTCCTTCAATTGTAAATTCAGAATTTCTTTCTTTAGCTCATCTTTAGATTGATTTAAGTCTTTGTGCTTAGCTTTACTCCAATAATATAAAGCCTTAAGAGATACGTTCATCTTTTGAATCAAAATTTGAGAGAGTTCTCCAATAGATTTTCTCCTCCATGCATCTCTAACCACTTCCATTGAAGCAGGAATTGAGGCCCATATATCTTCAAACTTGATATTTCTCTTACACGACACGTTGAACTCCAATAAGGTCAATAAAATCGGACAATGGCCTGTTGCAACTCTAGCCAAATGCCTAACCACCAAACTGTGAGATGAGTTCAAAGATGCTGAATTTAGAAGACATCTATCCAATTTCTCAAGGATCCTTTCATCCCCCTTCTTATTGTCGCACCAAGTGAACTTGGATCCAATGCACCCAACCTCATGTAAATCATTATATGTTATAAAGGACTTCATCTCCTTAGGTCCAAGGGAATAAACAAATCTCTTCCCTCTCTTTTTTTCCTCCCTAGATATTAAGCAATTAAAGTCTCCACCCACTATCATAGGAATATCTTTAGACAAATGATATTCCAATCTCTCCCAAAGAGATCTCTTATAAACATCCTTGCTCCCATATACAGCCGCAACTTTCTACTTTCCTTTGTTAACAACATCTAACTCCCTTACTACAAGCTGGGAAGAAGATTATGTTGGCTCAAGAAAAAAAATTGCACGAATCCCGCTTTACAGCCGTAGGATTCCATTTCTCTTAAGTCAGATTGAAGTTTACCAGATTTCCCCTGAGGGTAGTGTCAGGGTTTATTTAGATCTATGGTTCTTACTTCCTATGAGCGCAAGCACTCATAATTAATTACTCCTCTTAACAAGTAAGAGAGAACTCTCGATTAAGGATGAGTAAAATTTAGATATTTTTAGTCTCAATTGTGGGGAAGATGAAGGTAAACCCGATCAAGATCCCATGGCTCCGTCGTCCCGGGTATACCGTAGATTTTAGTCTACCAACACTAACAATCATTGACCGTAATGTCCAGGGAATCTAATTAGCAGCCATGAGTTGTCTCCTCTCAAGGATCCCGATTAGACTGAAGTGGTTAGATGTGGATTTTAGTTTGATTTAATTTGGGTTAGGGCTTATTACTTTCTTAAAAGTTGCCTATTAATTTGTTTAGTTTAGGGATTACGACTCCAATTTGGAATTGTCCAGTGATTTAAATTTTTAATTGGGATTTACGTCTTTGGTACAAAGTAACCCAAGTATTTGATTTAAATTGGGACTTATGGCTTTCATAGAAAGTAGCCCGAGTATTCAATTTAGAATTGAGGCTCATTACTCTATTTATGAGTTGCCCAGAGAATTTCAGTTGGATAGGTCTTAGGGCTTCCTTAAAAGTTGCCTAACGGTGGGTCTTACGACCTAGGCCTGTAAGCTAAGCGGCCCGAGTTGTTGGTCTTACAACCTAGCCCTTTAGACTAGGATGCCCAAGAATATTAATTGTTTGGGTAAGACTTATGGCTTCTCTTAGGAAGTAGCCTGAAAAGCGGGTCTTACAACTTAATCGTTTAGACTAAGATGCCCATAGGTTTAAATTTGATTGTTTAGGGTTTAGGATCATTACTATTTATTTAGCAAATTTCCTAAAATGTGGGGCTTACGATCTCAGTAAGAAGTTGCCCGAAAGCGGGTCTTACAACCTAATCCTATAGACTATGATGCCCAAGTGAGGGGTCTAGGTGTATTATCACCTAAACACTTCCCTCATATGTCGGACCTACGACTTCTATTAGAAGTGGTCGGGGGTTTTAATTGGGTTTAGGGGTTAGGTCAATTTCTACCTAAAACTTTCCCCTAAGGTCGGGCTTACGACTTTCCTACGAAAGTTGCCGGGTAGTGGGTCTTACAACCAAGTTCCTATGAACGAGGCTGCCCAAATAGTTCATTTAGTTTGGTTTGGGGCTTACGGCTCCAATTAGGAGTTGCCCGGATAGTTTGCTTGGGGGTTAGGAGTTAGGTCAGTTTTTACCTAAAACTTCCCCTTAAAGTCGGCCTTACGACTTTCCTACAAAAGTTGCCGGGTAGTGGGTCTTACAACCTAATTCTTATAAATCAGGCTGCCCGAAAATTGAATTTTATTGTTTGGAGATTTGTTCTGACTTTATTTGAGTTGGTTGAGTTTGTGATTTGAGTCAAGTTGTTTTTCTAAATTGAATTATTTTGTTTGAAGATTTGTTTATATTGTTGAGTTGTTGTGTGTTGATCAGTTTGAACATAGGTTGAATGATGGAAACACTAATTTTTTTGCAACATGCCTGCAATACCATAGATTGATTGTACTCCAAGTAGAGACACCTTTTTTTTCTTATTGAAATATTGAGTTGATTTAATCACCACTGTGTGCACAGGTAAGTTAACTCCATGTGCGAGAATATTTGTGGTGCAAAAAACATGAAGATCCTTTTTCGAAAAAAAAAACTTCAACAAGATCCTGATCCTTCAGACAAAGTCCACCATTGTGATTGACAACACCACATAGACTGCATGATTGCATTTGTTTATCACCACAGGATACATAAATTTTACTTTAATTTTTCCTTTTGCTCTTTTGTTCTTGGGAATGGATTTGAATGTCCAAAGCTTGATACAATATGAAGGATGTGTTGTGACACTTCTTGCGCTCCTTTTCATATTGAACAGAATATAAGTGCAGATTTTTTTTTTCATGCAATGTTTCAAATTCAAATTCTTTTCTAGTTTAAAGATCAAATTGATATTGCTCATTCATATATATATATATATATATATATATATATATATATATAATATATAAAAAAAATCACCCGCATCTATTTTTTAATATGATTATATAATAAATAATATTATATTATCATATTATAATATATATATATATACTATATGATATCATAAAGGGGAGAGCAGCTGAAGAAGTGACGGTGCAAGCTATGCACCTTTAGCAAAGCAACGGAGCCGAACAACAAGGAGCCGAAGATGTCGTGCAATCTCTATTCCTCCCGCGAAGCAAGTGAGTCGGACAACAATGAAGGAGCGGAAGAGGTGTCGCGTGCAGCCTTTCCCTCTCCAGCGAAGGAACAAAGTCGGACGGTGACGAGGGAGCCGAAGTCGCATAGCCACGGGGAGTTGAAGAAGCGGTGAGTGCAATCTCTCGGCCTCCTGTGAAGCAACAGAGCCGAACAACAACGACGAAAAGAGGAGATGAAGGGCGACGAAGTCGAACAGCAACGATGCAGTCGAAGGAGCAGACTTTTTTTTTGTAAGCTTTGCCTATTCTCCTTTTTATTACTCAAAATCATCGGATGGAAGTTATTGTGCGAAGCAAAGCGTCGTTTGGAGAGATCACGCGAAGTGTGGTATGTTTGGGGGTATGTCGGTTGTTTCAAATTTTTTCTGTTTCATTTTTATTAGTCAACAGATTCCAAGACATTGAATGAAGCCAAATTGTGATTCCATAACACCATAATGCCACCCGACAAACCTTCAGATGGAACATGAAAAAAGTCCCAATCACTCCTTACCAACAAATTAACATCTCTCCTATTAATATAAGACAACTTGGTTTCAAGCAACCCAAGAAAGAACACCGCATGGTCCTTTATAAATTCTTTTAGGTAAAGAGAAGCTTTACTTTTCCTAGCTCCTCTACAATTCTAAAATCCTATGGAAGACATCATTGAATAATAGGGGAAGAGCTCCCCAACATCTCCTTCGATTCTCCTTCCAATCTTCTATTTCTTGGAACCAATTTAATAGGTCCCAATCCTTTGAGCTGCTTCGTGCCTTTTTTCTTCACATTAGATGAACCATCACCCGAGATGCCCACCTGAATTACCTTTATTTCATTTTCATCCTCCAGAATATTGTCTACATTTACAGCTTTATGTACCAATGCATTAGGAGACTCCAGAATCTGTGTTCAGGCATTCCCCTTCCTCCACCAGTTGACTCAAGACATCAAATTGATTATTATTACTAGGAATGCAAGTAGAAACAACATTCCTTTTTTTACCAGATGAATAAATTCCTATGACTTGAACATCATTACAAGGAGGGCCAGATTTTACCTCAAGAAGCAGTTCTTCAACCCGAGAGACTGTTACCACATTAACATCTTCATTTTGTACTCTTGCAGCATTCCCATCTACCTTCATTCCTTGAGTCTTCCCAGCAACTCCATCTTCCTTCACGGTCAAAGACTTGTTAGCTTCGTTATACCCAGGTCTTGTCCAAGTATTTTTGAATTTGTAGTTACTGAATCTTCTCTTCCCATAATCCACATGAATCCAAGGTCCATAGCCTTCTTTATCAACCTCATTGACACCTTCCCATTCCTACATTTGAGTTTGGCTTGTTCGAAACAGCAACACCTTCATTGGCACTTCTAATTTGATTAGTAACCTAACAATTTTCTACACCAGCATTTGTACACCTACTCTTCAAATGCCCAATATTCCCGCAGTTGAAACAAAAATTAGAAACTCTCTCATATTCAATCTTCTGGTAGAATTTGCCGGAAATTCCTTCCACCCAAACACCCAAAGGCAATTTGTTCTCGAGTTTGATTCTAACACAAATTATGGCAAACTCCCTTCTCCCCCATTGAAACATATTTTCATCAATTAAATACGAAGTTCCAACCGTTGAAGCAATTCTACAGACATTAATTTCATCCCAACACTGTAAAGGGAGATTAGGCATCCTGATCCAGACAGGAGCCGTTAAACCTTTTAAAGAAGTAGGCTGGAATGTAGGGTCCATTTGTCCAAACCAATGATATACTCATTCACATACCAATGTCCGCTAGAAAAAACATATTCAAGAGCCTTTGGGTCTTCAAATGCACATAATACCCATCCCCTTCCAAGTAAAGTCATATGGAATTTTCCAAATTGAGTCAATTGCCTCCTTAACTCCACCCCAATAGCATGGTATGGCACAAATTCACCAAACACTTTCACCACCAATGATTTGAGCAATTTGTTTGTGTTTTCTACCTCATTTTGCATATGCAGCTTCACTACTCCATCTTCAGATAAACAGACTCCAAAATCGAAATCAATTGTTTTAAAGTTATTTTTTTATTCCAGGCATTGGCTAATATCAGAAATCAAATTTTTAGCATCTTTGCAATTTCCCAGAACAACTGAAATGCAATCGCGAACCTAATCCAAATTAACATCAGAATGATGGACGTCGTAAGGACCCCTCATTACAGATGAATTCTCTACAGCTGCAACTTCCGAAACTTGAACAGAGACTGAACCTCCACAAACAGAATCTTTGTTTCCCATTCTAACCGAGACATCTGAAGAGATGATTTCTAAAGGAGAATGACCTGTAAATCACGAATAGGTTATAACATAGTGAGAGAAAGTAGTGAGAGTACGTTTGAGGAAAATTTGAATTTTTGACTGGGCTAATCCCATTTCTTAGACTGCGGAATTCCCGCTGCTACTGATGGCGGCGGAGGGCCGCCGGTCTTTGACGGCCGGTGGTCATGCTGATCATCCTCTGGTTTGGTGGCTTCTTCCTGTCTGTTTGTGTCCTCTCCCCCGGCTTTCGGAGATGGAAAAGCTGGATTTCAGAATTCCAAAAATGTTAAGAGCTTCGGGAAACCATTAATCATCAATGAAGGAGGATTGTTGAATAAGAAGAATGAAGTTGAAATTTTTGGAAAAGGGAAGGAAGTGATGGTGGAGAACAAATCAAAATTTTCATTCAAGAGTGGCAAAATTTTAGAGTTTAATATTGATGGAGCTTCCCCGCCATCGATGTCTGTCTTATCAGAGAGAGTTGCTCTCAAAAAGTATTCTGGCATTGTAATTGAAGAGGTATTCAAATCAGCAATGGAGATTAAAAATGGAAATGTGATTGAAACTAGGCCGGTTGAAGATAGCTTCAGATCAGAGAAGGCTAATGTGGATTCTAAACCAGTGGTAGAGGAGAAGAGAGTTGAAGATGTTAATGAAGCCACTCGACTGGATCTCGTGAAAGTCAGAAGTTGCAATTCTGGTGAACTGGGAGAATGTGTGGAAGGATTAGTTAATGCCCTTCCAAGACCTGTCAATAGTGTTCGATCAAATGCCTGGAGCAGGAAGGACAATATAAAGGTGGATAATCTTAATCTTGGTGAATATCTGTTGAATGAAGGAAAATCAGCCAAGCTCTATTTGCAAAATGAATTAGAAAATTAAAAAAAATTACAGAATTCCCTGGTGATAAAGGTGTTAAGAGGCAACATCCCTTTCCCTGTAATTAGTGCTGAATTGAGGAGGCAGTGGGCTTCATATGGGAAATTTCATCTAACAAAGTTAGGAATGGATTGGGTATTGTGTTCATTTCACGAAAAAGAGCCATTGGAAGCAATCTTTGCTAATGGGTCGTGGTTTGTTAGAGGACAGATCATTGGGGTACACAGATGGTCGCTGAATTTCTCTCTGACGTCCTTAAAAGGTTTGACATCTCCTGTTTGGATCAGGATGCCAAATCTTCCTTTACAATGCTGGGATGAACTGAATGTCTGCAGAATTGCATCCTTGGTTGGGAAGCCTCTCCTCATTGATGGGAACAAGTTTCAGTGGGGAAGACAAGAAATTGGAAGGGTTTGTGTGCGCATTAAGCTAGATGAACAACTCCCTCTTAGAGTTTGGGTGGAAGGAAGCACAGGAAAATTTCTTCAGAAGATAGAGTACGAAAGGATTCCGAATTTCTATTTTGAATGTGGGAAAATTGGTCACCTCAAAAAAGACTGTTTGAACAGTAAAATTAATTCTAGCCCGGCTGAAGGTTTTGGAAAACAAAAAAGAAGCAGAAGGTCAGAAAATCAACTATAATCCAATTGCTGATGATTCTTCAGAGGTCAAAGAGAGCTATGGACCTTGGGTCCATGTTAACTATGGGAAAAGAAGCTACAGAAACACTACAACAACAACAACAACATCAAGCCTTTATCCCACTACGTGGGGTCGGCTACATGAATCCCTTTTCTCCATTGTGTCCTATTAAAAGTGAATTACTCGTTTAAATCTAATAAAGAAAGGTCATTCCTAATATTTTCTAACCATGTCTTTTTAGGTCTACCCCTACCTTTCTTAACATAAGTCAAATCTAATACCTCTACTCTCCTAACCAGGTCATCGGAAGGCCGCCGTTTTAAGTGACCAAACCATCTAAGTCGACTCTCTCTAATCTTATCTTCTACTGGAGCTACTCCAACCTTTTCACGTATATGCTCATTTCGTATCCTATCTCTAAGGGTAAAGCCACTCATCCACCTGAGCATCCTCATCTCTGCCACACTTAACTTAGTATTATGATTCTCTTTTAATGGCCAACATTCAGCACCATAAAGCATTGCAGGCCTCACTACCATCTTATAGAATTTTCCCTTAAGTTTGAGGGGTACATTTCTATCACATAACAAGCCCGATGCATTCCTCCACTTCAACCATCCAACTTGAATTCTGCTGATAATATCCCCATCTATTTCACCATCACTCTGAACAATAGATCCAAGATATCTAAACCGTGTACTCTTATTAATGACTTGATCGCCCAAAGTCACAATACCCTCACTAGGTCTATTACTACTAAAATTACACTCCATATATTCCGTTTTAGATCTACTCATAGATCTACTCAAGCGAAAACCTTTAGACTCTAAGGTTGACCTCCATAATTCAAGTTTACATTCAACTCCCTCTCTAGTCTTATCAACAAGAAGAATATCATCAGTAAAAAGCATACACCAAGGTACATCCTCTTGCAAATGTCTAGTGAGAACATCCATGACTAAAGCAAAAAGATATGGGCTTAAGGCTGATCCTTGATGTAACCCAACTGAAATAGGGAAATACTTGGTCAATCCACCTTGTGTTTGAACACAAGTAATAGCTCCTGCATACATATCTTTAATGATTTGAATATAAGCATTATTGACTCCTTTCTTTTCAAGAACTCTCCAGAGCACTTCTCTTGGAACTTTATCATATGCTTTTTCTAAATCAATAAATATCATATGTATATCCTCCTTATTTTCTCTATATTTCTCCATCAAACCTCTTAATAAATGTATAGCTTCAATAGTCGACCTACCCGGCATGAATCCAAATTGATTTTGAGAAACATTAGTATCACGCCGCAACCTATGCTCCATAACTCGCTCCCATAGTTTTAAAGTATGACACATTAACTTAATACCTCTATAATTCGCACAAGCTACAGAAACACTAATCTTAAAAAAGGTTATCAACGTTCTACCAGTATCTTTGTTAAAAAAAACACAGATTTAGTAAAGAATAAATCTGTGGAATTGAACACTAAAGCTAATTTCAAAGAAGTGGGAGAAGAAGTGCCTTTAGCTCAAGCTGATCCTGATTTGTCTGATGGGCATTATGAACTCAGTAAAAGCAGTGAAATTCAAGGAGCTGATCCGAAAGTGCAGCTGGAGGTTCTGATCAAAGAGCAGGAATCTAAAAGCAAATCTGGTATGGAGCCTATAACTCGTTCTTCTGCTGTAACTGAAAATAAGTTTGATGTATTAAATAGCCTGTTAGAAGAAGGGGAAATTATTATTCCTGATGAAGTTAATGAGCATTCTGTGGTTGAGAAGGAAGATTTGGCAGTCAGTATTGTTAAGAGGGATAAAGATACTTCCAAAGAAGAATCAGGTGATATTGTAGAAGCTACTTCAAAGAAAAAAGGTACCAAACAACTTAAAGGTTCGGGGCCTATAAATTTGGCTCCTAGGAGTAGGAGGTTGGATGGGGATATTTCCAATAATGTCATCAATTGCATTTTGGAACTGTAGAGGAGCAAGGAAGAAAAAGGCTTCTCTATATCTTATAGATATTGTGAAAAACTATGATGTTTTCTTTTTTGGTTTGTTGGAAACAAAAGTTGCTACTATGGAAAGGAAGGTTGTGGACACTCTTATTGGTCCGGATTGGGATTTCTTTCATATACCCTCTGAAGGGCTTTCTGGGGGAATTATTCTGCTATGGAAGAGGAATGTTGCTAAATTTTGTGTATTGGAAGCTTCTAACCAATTTGTGATTGGTGATATGGAAGTTTAAAACAAAGGGAGTTGGCGTGTTGTTCCTATTTATGGGAACAAGGATGCATACAAGAGAAGAAAGATTTGGGATAGATTGGAAGCTTACTCTTCCAAGGACTTACCTATGTTAATAGGAGGAGATTTTAATTGTATTCTTTACAAAGAAGATAAAAGGGGAGGAAAGAGATTCAGTTTTTCCCTTGGATTCAGTTTTTCCCTTGGATCTAAGGAAATGAAAACCTTCTTGACTAACAACGATTTGCATGAAGTTGGATTTGTAGGCCCAAGGTTCACTTGGTGTAACAATAAAACAGGGAATGATCGCATTCTTGAAAGATTGGATAGATGCTATTTGAACTCAGCCGCTATTATTTCCTCACATAGATTGATGATTAAGCATCTGCCTCGGGTGGCTTCTGACCATTGCCCAATTCTCCTAAATCTATTGGGAATCCAATCTTCTTTCAGAAAATTTTTCAGATTTGAGGACTACTGGGCTGCAAATAAAGCATCAGCTGCTGTTGTAAGGGCTGTCTGGCTGAAGAAATCTGTGGGCAGCAGCTTCAATATCCTGAATTCTAAGTTGGATAAATCCTTGAAGGCTTTACACTACTAGAGCAGAGCTAAGCATAAATATCTCTTTCAGTTGGAAGACTCATTGCTGAAAGAAATAGAGGATTTACAATCTAAAGAAGCAGGTGATTGTGGTCTCACGGAGGAAGAACATTGGAAGCTGAAAGTAAAACTGATAGAATTTAACTCAGTTTTAGCCCGGTTAGACACATGGTGGAGGCAAAGAGCTAAAATGAAGTGGATCTTGGAGGGAGATCATAATACAAAATTTTTCCAGTCATTTGCAACGGCTAGGAGAAATTCGAACTTCATTATTAAAATCAAAGATGACAATGGGGAGATGGTCGAAGATCAACATAAAATTGAAGAAATCATTGTTTAGTTTTTTCAAGCCAAATGGAAAAACAGAGATTGCAGAACCGAGAGGAAGCTTAAATGAGGATGATGCAAATCTTTTAAACAAAGCATTCTCTATAGAAAAAGTTGAAGATGTTATTAAGCAAAGTGCCAATTATATTTCTCCATGTAATAACGGTATTACCTACTCCTTCATCAAGGCATATTAGGAGATCATTAAGAAAGATTTTTGGAATGCTGTGAATTTTTTCTTTGAGAATTCTGAGATGGATCCTAGATGGAAGGAAACTCTCATTGTTCTTATTCCCAAAGTTGAGAATCAATTGGCTCCTTGCAACTACAGGCCAATCAGTCTTTGTAATACAATTTACAAGGTGGTGGCTAAAGTTCTTATGAATAGAATGGCTTCTATTATTCCTAAAATCATCTCCAAAGAACAGGCGGCATTCTTGAAGGGTAGATCATTGACGGATGTTATGGTGGCTCAAGAGATCATGCATAAGTTCAGGTACTCTAAATCTTCCAAAGGCTTTGTTTCTATTAAAATTGATATGGAGCAGGCATATGATTCGATGGGATGGCCGGCTCTTAAAAAAGAATTGGAGTATTTTGGATTTCCATCCAAATTTTCAAGTCTTATTTTGGAGTGTGTCCAAGACCCAAAATTTTCTATTTTGATTAATGGTAATGCTTCAAATTGGATACATGCTAGTAGTGGATTCCGACAAGGGTGTCCATTGTCCCCTTATCTATTTGTTTTATGCTCTCAATTATTAACCAATGCTTTTATGGAGAAAGAGGAATCTTTAGTCATTCGGTTGAATACCACAGGTCCAAGAATTTCTCACATGTTGTATGCAGACGATGTGATCATTTTTTCTGAAACAAATCTACAAAGCATCAAGAAGATTATGGGAATTTTGTGAAGATTTTGTGAGTGGACGGACCTGAAAATTAATGCTTCTAAATCTTCTCTTCTTTTTAGCAAGGTGGTAAATAGAAGAAAGAAAAAACAAGTTGCCTGGATCTTGAAGTTCAAAGTTGTTAAAGAGCTAAATTATCTTGGAGTAAAACTAGCTCTTAGAAGATTGGTTGGAAATGATTTCCAATTCATTATTGAAAAATCTCTTAAAATAACAAACATTTGGGGAGGTAAATTGATGTCTTTGGCTGGGAAAGTAATGCTTGTAAAAACTGTGTTACTTTCTTATACCATCTTCCATTGCACCAACTCAGTGATTCCAAGAAGCATCCTCGATGAAGTTGATAAAATTGGTAGAAGTTTTATTTGGAACAAATCAAATGGAAAATATAGAATCCATTATGTAAATTGGGAAGTCATGTGCTTACCTCTTAAATGGGTAGGTAGAGGACTACATTCTTGTGCTAACAAGGTTGGTCTTTTAAGAGCTAAGATTGCTTGGAGATATATTCAAGATAAAGATTCATTACTTCACAAGGTTCTCTATCCAAAGTATGGTAATCTGTTTAGTATCGAAGCAGAAAAAAAATCTGGTTCGTTTGCTTGGATAATCGTATCAGATGGATGGAATTCTTCGAAGACTATTTTGAGAGGGTCAATTGCAGATGGTAAATCAATTGATGGATGAAAGACTTAGCAAATGGCCAACTTTCATCACTAATGACATTGGTGATATTATGGTTGAAAGCTATATTGAAAATGGTGGCTGGAATTCCGAAAAACTGAAGGAAGTTATGGGCCATGAGCGTGTCAAACTTATTTGTCAAGTTAGTATAAAAACTGAGACGGATAGAGATTCTTTGGAATTGATTATGCAAAGGACAGGAAAATCTTTATCTTCCATGGTGTGTGATGCTACGGTACAGGATTCATGTACAGCACAATATTGGAACTGGATTGGGAAGATTAAACTTATGCCGAGGATGGAAATGTTCTGGTGGAGGATTTTTCATGATGCATTGCCTACCTGTCAATTCCTTGTTTATAGAAGGTTGCATAGGAATATTGGATGTCCTAGGAATTGCAACGAAGGAGAAGATATAGAGCATATAGTGGTCAGATGCAGTAAATTGCAGGAAGCTATCCTGGTATTAAATAAATGGGGTTTTTTTTATCCCAAATTTCTCTAATCTATCAGAATGTTACAATTGGCTGTCCAATGAGAAAACTTTCTTGGCTTCTTTATTCTGTAATTTAATCTTCTTCAATTGGAAGTCTAGAAACAATCTTATTCATAAAGGTATTAATGATACAGCTTTGGCTATAGCTACAAAAGCATTAAGCTATGCTTCAGTTGCTGCTCATGGAGATAGTGGAAATTCGGGTTTATTGGGTGTTAATCAACCATCTAGGTTGTCTGATCATCATTCGCACCCTCCACCACCCGATTGGATCAAGGTTAATATAGATGCCTCATTGCTTCCTTCTTACAAAGCTGGAATAGGAGGTGTATTTCAGGATTATAAAGGCAGATTTCTCTTGGCATTTGGTATGACTGACACTCAATGGGATGTCTCTTATTTGGAGTTATTGGCTACTCATGCTATCAAGGAAGTCATTAAGATTGGATGTTCAAGTTTAAGGGAATAATTATAGAGGGAGACAATGATAACATTATCAAGTTTCTTCAAGAAGAGAAATCAAAAGGTACCTCATTCTTTGATAATTTTCAAGCTATTAAGAAGTTTGATCACAAAGCTTAAAGAAGTTGGTGTTAAAAGTTAAAACATTGAAAAGGCAGATATTTTAGGAAAGGTGCTCTGCTAGGGTTTCCCCGATTCCGGTAGATATGATAGTGATGCCTAGAAAGCTGATCTCTACTTATATCTATA